ATGATTTACAGTAGAATTTTAGGCTGGAGACCGACATTCATGTTATTAGACATTGATGTTGCTGTTTATGTTTGATACGTTGACAAGTTTTACATATGCAGGCAGGAAGACTAAATCTTTGTACTCCTCAAATAAAAATTGTATGTGGGACAAAAAATAACCTAAGTTAGGGGTAGCAATCTGTACTTTTTACTTATTTTATTCAAAGCAAGTGTTAATAAATTGTACATGAAAACAAAATTTTAAACCTAAACATTTCAGTCATATTTTTATTCTATAGGTGACTTGAAAGGGAGAAATAAAGCAATTTTGAAACTTAATGTTGTTATATATTCTTGAGAAAACACAAGATACTAGCTGTAGAAAGTTAATCCAAATAATATAGAAGACATGAAAAAAGTGCCAAATTTTCAATTCACCTAAATTATTTTAAACTAGTTAGTTTGAACTCATAATTAAACTAAATTATTTTAATTTGGAATCCTAATACATTACATAAATCATTCAGTATTTTGGTTGCATGGATTTGAAAAGGATACCCAAACATATTCCAACATTTTTGGAGCACATCCAATAATGCATAAGGATGAAGGTAAATGTACATAGCACAATAGGCCTACCATTTTCAAAAATAAAAGCCTGATAAACCACGAAACTGACTTGTAGATACAAAAACAGATAAACAACATTGAATTCTTCATCCTATAAAATAAAACTGATAATATTAAATATTTCTGCAAGTATTTTACTATAAAACATATCCATTTTTTTTGTCATGCCATTTTCTATTGAAAAGATCTTGGTTGTTATCATTCCTAATACCAGTAACATCTCCATACAACTTCAAGCAAAACATTTTTGGTAATATTTTATATGTTGTTTGTGTTAAAGATATTTCTATTTTCTTAGATAACGCTAAAAAATGTAAAACAAAAAATAAGATTTAAGTGCATTTAGATTCATAACTAAACATTTAATGAACAGTCTGTACATACAGCCAATTTCCAACTAAATTTGTTAACTTTTAACATCTTGATAATTTTGGTTAAATGTGTGTTTCTGATCTGTTTACCAGAGGCTGATAAAGACCATGAAAACAAAAATGCTCTAGGAACACAAGCAGCTATTCAGCGAAGAAAGAGACCAAAAAGGAGATCAACGGGTGTTGTTTATTGGGATAGTGAGGTCAGTGAAATGTTGGTAATGTATGAACATAAATTTATAACTTATGAAATCAGTGAGTAGAAATGACTCACGAAAATTTTGAAATGGCATGAGTAATTGAGATAGACTGATGATGTGAGATATTAATCTTGTATTTACTTGATTTGTATATGCTAAGAGCACCTTAAAATCGTGTTTAACTCTCTCGCTACAGGCATCCTTTTATGTGCATGTCATGAGGTTTTACAGAGTTACATTAAAACTTTAATTAAATTACTTTCTTATATGAATAAATTTGGCATAACAATGTAGCTAGTAATCCAAGTCTTAATATTATATAAGTTTTAAGTTCTTAATTTTATAAGGCAATGTAAAAAAAAAAAACTGAATTTCCTTCAGTATGAGAATTGTGACATTTGCTCTTTAGTTATCCCCTCTTCTCTAATTTATTTACCACCCCTCTGAGAAGTACAAAATTTGATGTAAATTTTGGGTTCAAGTTTTCTGTACAAAGAATTGTCTATTTTGCTTCCAGTTCAAACTTTATTTGTGAGGGAAACAAATCAATGAGCTTAGCTGACTTTTCAGTGGCTCTTGTCACATAGTTAGAAAACCAGAAACATTGTGATAGTTATAAGACATTGTCTACTTTTTGTGTGTTATTATTCTATGTTCTTTGGTGCATTATCTATTTAAATAAAAAAAACATCAGATGTAGTAGTACCATTAGTATAAAAAAATAGGGTTAAGTTTCATCAATAGTCAACAGCAAAAAATATAAAAAAGGAGACCAGGTAAGTAATTTTTCTTGGTTTTCATGTGTATTCTTTATTTATTATTAGAAAAGTAACTAAAATAGAAAAATTAGAAATTTTTTAGGTTAGATCAGGTTGAATTGACTTAGTCCATAGCAAGAGAGTTAATGTAAACTGTGCTAGTGCATGATGACATCATCATGTGACAAAAGCCCTCTACCAATAGGAGGGCATCACACCCTCCTTGCACAGTAATTCCCCTTAAGCACTTGCATTTGAAATAACTTTATTCTTTTCCTTGGCATTGTCTAGAACTGACTATGTTTTTAAATTTCCTGCTTAATTATGAGATTTGCAATAGTTTACGTAACTTAAAATTGGTTCTTCAATTGGCTTCTGGATCCCCTCTGCCTCATTCCCACTCTCTTGCTCCTTCCACATCTCTCTATCACTCCTAGGAGTGTTGTCCCTTCCAATTGTCATGTAAGATTTGTCCAGTCCTATAACCATGGGTCTGGACTCTCCAATCATGTAATCTTTTCTTGTCCCACTCCTGTTATTGTTGTTTTTGAACTCTGTCCTTCTCACATCTGTTGTGTCAGATTTTCTTTTTGCTGCCTTCTTACTCCATGTCTTCTTACCATGGCCTGCCTTTTAGTGTTTTTCACATGATTTGACCATGGATTGCCTGTTCCCCTGTTGCTGGTTTATAGGCAGTTTCTTCTCCTGTCCTCTCCACTTTGTTTCAAACCTTCCTTCTTCATTGACTCTCTTGTCATATTTCCATGCCTCTCTGGAACTTTCTTGTGCTTTTACATGCTCTTCCATGGACTCTAGTTGAGCCATTGACTTCATGCTCATTATTCTGTCTTTATCTGCAAGAATATTTTCTTTTTCTTCTAGTCTGTCGCCACTGTTGTTTGGACGTATATGCCATCAATGCTTCCTGCACTCTTTTTCAGTGTACTTACTTCCTCCTCTATCCAGAACAGGTTTTTCTTCCTCATGCTTTGGCTACTTGGGAGGATGATTGTTTTTTCACATCTTATTCTTCTACTGTGTCACTCTCTTGCATCTCATTTTTACCAACCCTTGGACAAAACCCTTCAGTATGGTCTGTGTATGAACCCACACACATCTATCTCCCTTATTCTTTGTTGTCTGTTTGTTTTGTCTCCTTCAGATTTCGGCTCCCTCCATTCACTGTTCTTCCATAAAACTACATACCATCTTTGAGAATGGTAACTAAATATTTGTTTTTCAGTGACCTTTTCCCCTTTATTGGACCCTGTCAGGTGGGTGGTGCTGCCTCCTAGGGTATGCTTATTTCCCAAAGTCTACATTATGCCAGAGGTAATGGAAAGCACCTAACACACCTGCCCGGAATCTATTAGTGCCCACTATTGAGTTGGACAAGGTATCCTTGTGGTATTGATATTACTCAGTTGCCTGATCCAGATCATGGAAAAAGCCAGCACCAGGGAAGTGTCTGCCCTCTTCTTCACACGTACCAGCTTTTGAAAATAAGATTTTGTGGTTACCCATTTCATTGTTTCCAGTAGAAGACCTTTCCAGCAGGCATCCGATTGGGATCCAGGCACTTCTCCAAGTCTCCTCAACAGAAATTCTTACCCATTTTTCAAGTGGAGCATGGGTATGATTGCCACTTACCTATTACTAGCTGCTGAGGTGGTGGACCTTGGAGGTTTTCTCACCATTATGCATAGCACAGTGGGAAGTATGGCAGTGGTGACACTGTATGTTTAGTGTGGTCACCCCCTCAAATAGCTAGTGTGCTTTTTTTTGCAACAAGAGTCTGTCCAGTTGAGTTGAGGTGAGCACACACCTGATTGTGCCCTAACTACACTACACTTCATGGCTCACCAACCTCTTGTGTGGAGGTGCACAGTTAGTCATAACCTAATTCTGCCCATCCCTGCAACACTTGGGGCTCCTTTGCCCTTCTCTCCATTTCCTTCCAGGTGTATAATATACCCTAGTCGAGATGAGATGCAGTCTCCCACAGGTGTGCCCCTATGAAACCCCTGCCATTGGGTGTCACCTTCCACGGGCTTTCCATTCAAGTACCATTTTCTTCTTACCTTGTATAAGAATGGATATATTTCAAGCCCAAGTGCTTAAGAGGAGTTACTGTGCAAGGAGGTTGTGTTGTCCTCCTGTTGGTGGATGGCTATCATCACATGATGATGACATCCTGCAATTGTGCATTTCACGTTAAACACGTAATTTTTAGGTGGAAATTAGCTCAAGGCTACTGGCATGCAAATCTTATTGGCAGATGTAGGGGAATTAAGCTATTCAGTGTGAGGAGGGGAGTATCTATCAGAAATACATTTTCAGGTAAGAAAAATGTTAACTTTGCTTAATAAAGTGTATAATTATGCTTCCCAAATTTGTTTGATTTATGAAGTTAACTTGCTTCATTGAAAATAACTTTTTTCTTGATTGCTACATTGCATAACCCATGTTTTTCAAAACTTTATCAAAGTTTGAGAGTTGTTTTGCAAAGAATCATTCTGCAAAGAAAAATATTTTTGATCTTTATATCTTTATTTAATTTGCTATGTGTCAGAAACTCAATAAACTAAATATTGTTTCAGTTATTATAATGTACAGAAGAAATATTGAAAATTAAAAGACAGAAGAAGAATAACAAATACAAATGTTGATGATGATTTATTTGCTAGTAAGAACAAATTTTGCTATTTCAACAGATGTCATTAGTGTTACGAGCAATAAACATATGAGGGGTGCTAAGAAAATTAAAAATAAAGCCTGTATTAGTAATAAAAAGTTTTGTATAAGTGATGAGGAATAAGCTTATTTTGTTAGTGCGAAGAACAAAATTTTCTGGAAACACTTTCTATGGTACTGTTCCAGAGTCAAAAAGGTTTTGGCCATGTGATTAATTTTTATTAATTTTAGTTAGCAACATTAGTTAACATAAATTTATTGTTTTACTGTGATTACAATAGTCCCTCTTAGATACGACCAACCTTTCTGTCATGATAAAAAAGTTTCATCTGACAGGAAGTCATTATTCAAAGGATCAATAACCAGATAACGAACAACCGGGTTCAAGCTATGCCAGTTGCTATTCTTAGGGTTTGAACATAATGGTTTATATACTGTATAGTTCGTCAGATAACGTAGCAAATTGGTATAATAATAGTTATGATGGATAATAGTTCAGTAAAGATAACTTAAAATTGTTTTATTTATGTTCTATATAAAATAATTTATTCATTTCATAAACATCTACGCATCACATTTCTATTACATACATATAAAACATTACAAACTGACACAAAATTTATTTCATAAACAATCATCCATCTTTGCACATTTAAAGGAGTCACTTTAAATGTTCACGAGTCTGGTAGTTATTATATCAAGAAGTGTCTTGTTGTTAGTTTTTCAGCACACGATTTTAGTATTGATTTATAAAATAATGTGCAATAAATATTCAAATTAAACATCGGAGAAACTGGAAGAAAATTGGAAACCAGATTCCCTGAACATAAAAAAAACATTCCATTTTTGTATGTACCATCACTGCAACTAAAAAAATCCACAGTATATCCATACAAAACACTATAATTTTAAACTAAGAACCAAACATTGGAAGCTACATATGTTAATTGAACAAAACAGCCCCACCCTAAACCAAAATTTCACCTTGAAATTTGTATCCATTGATCCCAGCTCTGAAAAGGGACCATTCTGCAAATTTAAAAGAACCAGTAAAGATATAAGAATAAATATCTGAACTAAATTATTGCCATTGTTTAATAAGGTAATCTCTCTGAATAAAAATACTACGTAAAATGTAATATGTTACATTAAAACAATTTCTAGTTTACTAAAAACTTCTCTAATTTCCATGTTTTGTTTATTTTGTTGCTTTAGTCACAACTTTGGTCTGTATCAATATCAACATTTCTAGCCTTCTTTTTCTTCACAGCGACTTTCTGTTCTCAGCTTGAGACATTCGCAGCTTTCCCGAATGCCTCGAGACATTTTATTAGCCATGCTTACCATACAGATTTGTTGAGTCTGTCACTCAACAAACTGCGAGTTAATAATCTACACACCCCACTAATGAACCATAATCAAGTTACTTAACATTTAGGCCTCTAGCACAAAATCTACTACATTCACTACAAGAATAAGCGGGATGAAGACAAACAACAGTATCTGACTGCCCCTGGTTACCTTTCATGATCTGAAAGCTTTTAAACCAAAATACCTACGTCTCCATACCAAGGAGTTTGACTTGAACACACTGGGGTACCAAGATACATATACTAAGCTGTGAAGCAATCTCCAGTCATGTGACCTCTTTGTTCATGTATTCATGCATTTCTGTAAATTACATTATTGATATGAAGAAAAGTTATTATAGAGAGGTCATTATTTGACCTTCCACCCAAAATTCATGGTCGTATGTCAGGAAGTCATTCATGGGAGGTGAGACCAATGTAAAATCATTCTGTGTACAGAAAAAAAGTCGTATTTAAGAGGAAGTTGTTATTTGGAGGTGTCGTATCTACCAGAACTACTGTATTATTTTTACACCAGTTGTAACATGATTTCAGTGGTTATGTTTATGCCATTAATATTACATTTGTAGGTAATGAAATTGGTAGAGAAGGGATAATATCAAACATAATGGGAACTTTCATAATTCTAGACCTTGTTATCACTTCTGTACTATATTTGAAACACAAAATTAATAATACATTTCAGAAGGTAGAATTATATAGAGATCTGTAAGTGTAACAGTAAATAAACCCAGTCTACATTCAAAATGTCATAATCTAATCACCAGTAGTTATTAAGTAGTAATATGACCTAAGCAACAATACCTATCATTACTCAAATGCCTTGACAATACAGTAAAAAACAAATATATGTCTATGGATGCATAGTGATAATGTTGTCAACATTGCTATTGAAATCACATTACAACTAGTCTAGTATAAATACAGCCATTGCTTACATTAATTGGTCTTACATGAAAGTAGATGAATTTTACATAATTTTGTGGTTTGAAAATATTGATATTTTTGCAAAAATTTTTCATTTTGCACTTTAGAAAATATTCAATCCCCAGTCTGTGCTATGTAATTCCATACAATAAAGTACAAATACAGTTTATACAGGCACTCAGCTGAGGTAAAAGAAGACAAACAAGACTGAAAATATATTTAATGATAGTTCAGTTTACTTTTATAGGTTACCATCATCAATGTGGCAAATAGCAGGTTTTCGACTTGCCAGTTTGAGACATTAATTGCAAATACAGGGGTAGAAATCAACTTTTTTTATCATTTACCCAAAGGACTAGTATATTGCCACATTTGATAGACTTTATGGATTTTTAGTAGACATCACTCTTTCAGAGTGCTGTCCATTTCATGCAGTTGTACTTTTAATTGCACGGATGATGATAATAATAATACCAATTGTTATAACAAATTTATAAAAACTGAAATTACAGTGACACATTATGTAACTGTATCAAAAACAAACACTAATGTACTTCTATTTGGTAATTATGAATTTATTGTAAATAAACATTTAATGTGAATATGTCCTTGTAAATCTCTAGTCAAAATGTTCCCCATACTGTTTGTAATTTTTAGTCAGAGTAATTCAAAATATTTGTTCCTGATGATCAAAGCCTGGGTCATTCTCAGAGTCACTATCTGTACTAGATGAAATATTATCTAGGTCTGCAGCAGTCTCTTGCTCCATGACATTCCAGGTGTATATATTTCCACATAATGATGACTGTTGTTTATTGATTGATTTTATATATTACATTAGATCTACGACTAGACTCTTAACATTAGTCTAAAATTTAAAACCTGTCCAGCCTAGAGGTAAGCCATGTAAACTAGACTAAAGCATAAAACCAGTAGTTGGAATGTACTTGTAGCATGCATGCAAGTTTACACAATGAAGTGGTATATCCAAATATCATTCGATTAGGGCACAACCTGTCAGGATTGTGAACTGTGAACAGTTATTGTAGTATGTATTATTAGAGGATGAAGATTTTTATTAGTTCTATAATAGTTATATGTGTATTAAGATATATTCAATTGGAAATTCAAATATTGACACCTGAGCACAGACCCTATGTATATAATAAACACATGTTAAATACTGAGACCAATACTAACTGTGTTGCAAAATCAAATGTGTTTAGAAGGTTTGTATGCTTATTGGATTTGGGAATAGTAGCTGTATGTTGTATTATTTGTTCAGGGAGTATAAATATATGTTGGAATATAAACAACTGATGCTTTTTAGTACATGACAACTCATTATTGTTCTCGCTGGGTGTAAGGCTTAGATCTAGGCCTTGTCATTCAAAATACAGCAAATGTAGATTTTTGAATTCAGCAAGTGGGCAAAAAAATTTAGTTGCCCAGTGGACGATCATAGAGACTTTCACTTATCCTAAACATTTTCAACTTGCCTTGAGCCAAAGGGAAAGTATTAGTTTCTAACCCTGATAATGGCAATGTGGTGAGTGTCTAATGGTAACATAGTGTTAGTGATAATAAAATGCTATTTCGTAGTGCCAAGAACATGTTTGATATTTGTGACGAGAGCCAATCTTTATGTAATAGTGACAAGATAAGCTTTGTCTTCATGACAAAGTCTTTGTGTAATAGTGAAAAGAAAATTTTTCATTGTATATGATATGAACTAGTCTTTGTGTAAGAATAATAATATTGAAAAGAGCAAAAAGTATTTGTTCTACGGTAAAAAAAAGATAGTTTTAACATAAGAACATTAAAAGACAATAAGAGACATTTGGACCATCTAGACTGTCCTGTTCATTAAATTAAACTAAACCCTCCAAAAAATAACACTTCAAAGCCAGCATTTATCATTCAAATATTTATTAAGCTTTTCCATAAACTCCCTTAAATTAACTGCATCCACCACATCCAAAGGGAGTCTGCTCCAGAGGCCAATCACCTTGTTAGAAAATAAAGCTGTCTTAGCTGAAGCTGACTTCTTCTCTGCCAAAATTTATATTTTTGTCCCCTAGTCTTATCATTCTTACCATTACATATGAAAAAACATGATACATCAACAATATCAGTTCCCTTAACAACCCAAATCACCTCAATCAGCTCTCTTCTAATTCTTATAAAAAAAAAACAAGTTTACATTTTCATGAGAAAAGCAAAAACCTTTGTATAGTAGTGTAAAGGTAAGTTATCATTTTTGTGACATGAACTAGTATTTGTATAATAGTGACAATATAAGTTTTTTAGACATTTTTAGGGTTAGCTTTTGGAACTGTTTAAACAAAAAAATTCATGTTTTTAGGGTCAAAACGAACAACAAGATAGCAAAAACCAAGAACAGGAACAAGAAAAAGATGTGGAAGAGAAGTCTCAAGAATCCAAAGGTGATGGAAAGGTAAGCCTTTTGAATGTTCAAGTAATAAATTTCCCAATAATTCAAAGGTAACTTCACCCTCACTAAACGTTGTTAAAGAGAGCATCAGAATATTTGTAAAGATAGCCCTCCCATTTATTCTTGATGAAAAGGAGCTTAAATGTTTGAAGTATTTTTTCTGGCCATAGATATAAAAAATTACTATAATATTTTAAAATATCAATTGTATTATAATGATTTTTATACTTGTTTTCAATTTTGAAGTTTTAAATAAGATTTGTATGCTTCATTGTATGAATTTGCTCTTTAGTTTTAATAGCATATACATACATACATATAGGGAAAAAAGTTTACTGCTTATATTTGCTAAGCACTATGAGTTAATAAAATCAGTACAATCTTAAGGCTCCAACAGTCTAAGGATTCAAAATATGTATACACAGAGGGTTGAATATTTTATATTAAAATGATTTTGAATATGCAAGTTAGCAAGTTATGTAACAACCACAGCCATTATAAAGTTGCATTGCAATGGAATTGAATGTATCAGAACTACATTTTGATGTTAATATACATTTAATAAATAGTGTGATGCCACCACATTTTACCTCCTTACACCCAAAGCTATCATGATCCTAGATTGCCCTTTAAGCACTGCTACAATTTTTTGCTAACAGCACACCAGTCTTTTATACCCCATTAGATTTGTGTCCTTTCAGAACAAGTTCTGATCATGAGACTACCCTCCACCAATCCTACTGTGCCCTTTATACTAGTGCAGCCAGTTTCCTCTACTATTCTAGAGTAATCTTCACTTTCTCTTTTGGCATTCTAGTGTATAGATGTGTGTTTTAACTCGCTCTCCACGTGACTACAATTGCTTATTGTTTTATATTTTAGACCAAATTTCATAGTTTTGCAGGTTCATTATATTTTTGTCCCCAAGTCTTATCATTCTTACCATTACATATGAAAAAAATGATGCATCAACACTATCAGTTATCTTAACTCTTTCAGCAAAGGCCAGGTCCTTGAGACCGTCCTCGTAACCATTTTGTTTTGAATTAGTAAGTGAATGGTAATGAGCTTTGGCAGATTATCAGTAAACATTACAATGCTTTCATATGTAAAATATCAGTTTTATTTATTAAGTCTAAAGGTTTCTGAAGCAATGTTTTTCTCATGTCTTTTTTTTTTTCTTTTCACATGTTACCTTTCTAACATGCTTGCATAAAAGTATTTTTAATCTTAAAATGAAAATTACTTTCATTATAAAGATTTTGCATGTGAAATTTCAAAATTTTCTGATTAAAGATAGTTATCAAACTTTTCTAACGAAAAAACTTTATATTTTTCTGTTATTTTCAGTAATTAATCTCTGTACGGGTTTGGCAAGTTTGACCGATCTCGCAAC